CGCGGGCAGGGGCAGGGCTTGCGTGCGCGCGGGCCTTGGCACGAGGGCGAGAGTCGGTGCGTGGGTCCGGACCCAGTCATGGCCCGGGACGACTCGGGTGGTTCGGTTGGCTCGTTCGGGTCGGTCGGCTCGGACGGGTCGGTCGGGTCGGGTCAGTCGACTCGGGCGGCTCGATCGGGTCGGGTCGGTCGACTCTGGCAGCTCGATTTGCTCTAACTTCTCGCACGCTTATCCGATTGACCCGAAACTTTGACCCACGCGCCTCAAATCTTTTTCTCCTCGTCTTGAGATGCGCAAATAGATGTCACCCCGCAATTAATAAATATGCTCGGAAATGGTTCGCGTGGCTCGGACATGGTTCAGACGGCTCGGAAATGTCTCGAAAATGGCTCCTCTTCCCGAACTCGAATAATGTGGACCTAAACAACACCAAAAAGACAAGAAAATACGCCGAACGACAAAATCTACAAAACGAAAGCAAAAATGCACGAAACACGATAAAATGGACCGGTCAATACTAAAACGGACCTAAAATCACTCAACTAAAACACATAAAACACACGAAAATAAACACAAAAACACAATAAACAATAATCTTAGGGATTTCTTTTGGTAACAAATTTTATAATTTTTTTGGATTGTTTGAAGCTAAATATTGCAGAAAAAATCTCGAGTATCAAAATAAAAACATTATTTTTCAATCAATCCAAAAAGTCTTACCAAATTAAATTGTAATAAATTCTATTATTTTTGGTAAACATTATGTCACATTGATATGGCACATAATTTTCAATAATCGACAAAATCCGAGACACATGTAACACGTTGCACATTTTTTGTTTTTGTTTCTGTTTTAACAAAAACGGATAAACATATTTTCTAAGTCGATCGTAATAACATTATTTAAGAAAATAAATCCTACTCAATTTTGAATTTATATTTTATACCAGTATTTTGAATTAATATAATCTACACTATCTAAACTACTAATGATTGTTACAAATATATATCTAGAAAACAAGTAACTACTCGGATAAGGGTTTAAATAATAGGATTGATAAGCGTGATCTTATTTCTTAAGCTTATCCGATCTTTTTTAACTTGAAATTTTGTGACTGTATCTCCTCTATGGGTCTGTGTAATGGGACATGATTGGTTGTGACAAAGCTCTCCACTCACGTTCTCGAGTGTAAGATACTCACTGGCGATTACGCAGGTGATAAAGTGTTGATTCCAAGAATGGTTATATTTCTTTCTGATGTTAAAATACCTTTCAAGTTCCAGCGTCGGCAGTTTCCAATTATGGTTTCTTACGTCATGACTATAAATAAGAGTCAGAGACAATTATTGGCATGTGGGCTTATTTCATAAGAAATCAGTATTTTGTCATGGCCAGTTGTAGTAGGTTGTTGTCTCCCGTGTCACAAACATAAATGGCTTGAAAATCCTAATTTATGGCAAAGAATCAAACCATGAACGTTGTATATAAAGAAATGTTCAATAATATAGATTTTATATTCATTATATTTATTAATTATTAGTGACATGATCTTTCCTTTAGTAACTACTTTAGATTTTAACTGAAAATTGCTTTTAAAAGGGATGGGGATAATAAACCCCCGTGCATCGCACGAGACTGTACTAGTTTATAGTGATATGATTAATACCCCGCCGGATTCAACAACTATTCGATATTTTTTATTGTGATATGATCAATATCCTGTCGGATCCTATCTAATTTACTTGATTATGCTTATAATGAGTTGGCAAAAATATGTGGACAATTTCGATGCAATATGTAGTAATTAAGAAATTTGTGAACAAATACAATCCTACAAAATCGGATCATATATCTGTTGGTAAAAAAAAAAAAAAAGAATAAATGCCAAACAAATGTGAAAAGCCGTCCAAATCCTCAATTTTGTAGCTGCCCAAAAAATCTGTGTTATCGTGGAAAATTGGTAACAACAATTCGTATATAAAATTAATTAAAATCTTTGCAGTATAGTTAACAAAATCTGATAATTTTGGTAAGGTAATTTCGATCATTTTCTTTCAAGATTTGTAGTAATTATGAAGATTGTGAACATATAAAATCCCACAAAATTCGGACATTGGTTATGAGAATCCGAAATTAATCAAAATCCTAGCAATATAGTTAACAAAATCCGATAATTCTGGTAAGGTAAATTCGATCATTATCTTCAAGATTGTGAACATATAGAATCCCACAAAATCCGTTGACATTGGTTAAGAAATCGGAACTAATTTTGCTATGAAAGATTTATTACTTAAATTTAATTTTAATGCGTGGGCCCTATTGGTGTTACTTAAATTAGTAAGTCAAAACATTATTTTTCAAGTCAAACATACTATTTTTGTATTTTTCCAACAACCTCTTTATATTACTATAGATTTATATAGTTCACTAAATCACACAAAAATACATGAACAAACTACACATTAATCAAGTGAATCAATGGTCTCGTCAAATTTAAACCTTGAGCGATAGTTGTTTATCCACTATATATTACTTTAAACAATAAATTATATATAAAATGAATTATCAAATATTGTAGACAATTTTAAATATAAAAATGCGTAAAATTATTGATATAAATATTTATACATATTCAAAAAAATTTAGTTATGTATGTTAGTTAAAAATACATTAAAATATATTAAAACTAATCTTATTAAAAACTGAACCATCGTCGATTTTTTACCCATTTTGACATGTTGGACCAGACAAAACTGTAATTATAAATATTTGGGTAAAACATATAATAATGAACGGGCATTTTATTCCAGATAATGCAAACAGCACAACTGCTGCCTTGCTCTATAGGAGCATATAATAGCAGCAAAACATATCAAACACAAGTACACAAATTTTTGCACCGTTCCTTGTTCCCAGCAATCAACTGATCATTAGCCTCACATATCGTGAACAGAGTCTTGACATGCAGGGACAATAAAATGGGGAATGTGGACAAATGCAATTGTATATGGATTAACCGTTATGGGCTCCGAGTGGACTACTTGGTTGGGCTTCAGCGTAGGTATAGTGCCACTAATTGGGTCGACAAATAGTGGGCTCCCGTTGAGCAAAACTGTCCGGCTCTGCAACTTCTCATCCATTGGGCTCAAGTGGTATTCTTCTCTGTACGCTTGTCCGTGATTAGGAGACAATGACTCTATGAGTCCGTAAAGGCCAACCTTTGTCTTGACTATGGTATCGGCACTAAGGTTTATCAGAAGTATAGTAATTCCGTCCTGCAAAAATATGTAGGTTGATAAATTAGTAAGGACTAATTGCTAATTCATTAATGCAACTTAGTATAAGATTAAGGACTAGAGAAAAATTATGATTTTGCCACACAGTACGTACGGATTGTTTTGAACAATGGGCGTACGCGCGGAGGTCCTTATCCCATTGTATGATGTCATCAGAACGCGTGTTCCCATCAAACGGTGCCAAAGTAGTGCACTGCGTGCAAAATACGACCAACAAAGTCACTACTTACATAAAATCGGTCAATTTTCATCTATTTATTAATCACTATCAAACATCAACATCTATTTTTCTATCCACATTTTTAGTTTTATACTATCACAAAAGCATGAATTTTTTTTTTTAATTTTTTTTTCTTTTGGGATAAAAAATTTACTAAATTCTCGTATAAAAGTAAACACATATACAAGAATAATAATAATATTGCTTGAACCTGTAGTAATCTGGATTTGGGATAAAGGTAGTTGTGTCGAGCAAGGCATAGTTACCGCCGATCAGCGTCTGCCTGCAGTACACCTTGGTGTCATAAACAGCTGCAGTCGCCATGTGGTCCAAATACCTATATATATTTCCATTCGTTCGCAATTAATATATAAGCATCGAAAAAACTTGTTTTAATTAGTTTAGTCCAATTGTGTCCAGCAAATTAAACAAGAAAGGGACACGAGCTTTTTTATATATATATATATAATTTACCAGAAACTGAAGAGGAACGTGTTAGTGATACCATCACAGCCGCTATTGTATACGCCTCCCGACTCTCCAATCCAAGCAACCGTCTTTGTAGGGGATAGCCGGATAAGTTCGCGCATTTGTATAAACACTTTGGCCCCACCGTCAAGAACAGTTGCATTCACGATTTTGTACATGAGGTCCTTGCCGTACCCTAAAAAACGAAAAAAACAAAAAAAAACAATTGTTTTCATTTTAATTAATTCGTCACGCGATATTTAATATGGACTTTCGTGTCTTGTGTTTTGGTAGTCACCTGAGCCGAGAGGGTACGTGTGGTGGGTGATTACGCCAGGTGGTCGGGTCTCATTGGTTATGAACTTCTTGAACCATTTGTATTCGAATACCCCTCCAGAGAAAATGATGGCCGGAGCATAGGTCACATTCTTTTTTACGTAAATACGTTTTAATAGCTTCTCAAGATTAGACGCATCGGCTGCATATTGTTCGGGTTCCACTCTCACACCTTCTACCGGTACTCCTCCCAATTCATTCCCTAATTTTTATTTTTATTTTTTGTGTGAAAAAAAAAATATTACATGTTAATTAAGTCTCTATTTTACCATAGTCTATGTGATGATGCATATATTAACAAAATTGAGTTTGAGACGCATTTTTTCTTACTTACCAAGCTCCCAACCATACATGTAATAATCTTTCTCATCGTGAGTGTAACGAATAAGTTGTTCGGAATTGGTGGGGTCCCATGGGCCAGTGGCATTGGTCGGGTCCCAAGAAGTAAGAGGTTCGGGATGTGGCTGTACTGTCTTTCCGGTGAGAGCATTGAGTCCGAAAATCGGGATAGCCCTGAATATATATAATAACCAAAAAAGAAAAACCTAGTTATGTTTGTTTAGTTTCATTTCAAAATAAGTACGCATGTTTTTTCTTACCCCGTTTGTTTGACGAAGGAATTTATTTGATCCCATCTCTCCAACGACAAGCATCCATCGGTGTAGTTGAACAAATAAGACGTGTTAAAGGTGAAAATGGGGCATGGAGAGGTTCTTGAAGTTTGGTAGGTCAATCTGTCTTGCAGGGTGCCTCCTAGTCTTAACCTTACGCGTGAAAATTCTGTTCGGGATCGG